CGCTATGAGTCGCAAGTGACTCGATGGCACATAACAACAACAACAACAACAACACTGCTACTGTTAGTATGAGGATAGCCTAGATTCTTAAAGGTTTTATTGACGTTTAAACATTTAAGTCAGACGTTAATGGAACACTAGGTTTTAAGCCAGGGGACATTTGTGGTCTAGTTATATGCTATGAGATATTCATTTTACCTTCTTTGTCCTAACTTGCTTGCTTTTAAAATTTCATGGAGCTTTATGTAAATTATCTATATTGTCTCCTCCAGTGCTAACAACTAAGATTTTAGTGCATTTAAACAAGTCCAAATTTAAATTAAGCCAATAACAGGTAGTAAAAGGAACCCTGCTAGTGCAGTAAAAAGTGCTCCACTGCTAACTGAAAGGTCAGTGGTTTGGATCCTCCAGCTGCTCGAAAGGCGAAAGATGTGACCATCAGCTTTAGATATTTACAACCTTGGAAACCCCATAGGTGAGTTCTGTTCTGATCTATAGAGTTGCTGTTCTTGTGTGCTGTTGAGTTAGAACTGATTGGTAACTGAACCCTCAGCAGATTTTCAGAGGCAATAAGTCACACAGGAGGAGGATGCCCATCTTTCTCCTGTGAAGCAGCTGGTGGATTTGAACCATGTGTCTTTGGGATTGCTGTGCACGTTCTTCCTAGTGAGCCACCAGAGCGCCATGCCCTATAGTGTGACTGTGAGTAAAAATCAAGTTGATGCACCTAACTACCACAAACGCTAGAGGAGACTAGTTTTCCTTCCTATTTATTGTCTCTTTCAAGAAGCAAAAATAAAAAGGAGAGATATTCCATGAACAAAGGACAGTCTTATTAATGACACTGTTGAGCTTAAAAAAAAAAAAAGCCCTTACAGAAACTTAACCTAAACCAAATTTGCAAGTGTTGATCAGAGTTACTTTTGAGATTACATAAATAAATTAATCCCCCTTCTTTTTTCCTTTTACCATTAAGGATGTGTCTGAATTGGTTTTCATTTATTAGTCATGGAGTAGAATGGTGAAAAGTAAACGAATGTACCAGCGCCTTGCAAAGTGGGAGTCCTTTGATAAATTTTTGAGAAGAGCTTCCTTGCAGGGAAAAACATTGTTCTTGTCTTGGAACACCTGTAGCTTCTGTTTCCTTATTATAAGGAGCTCTTTTTGCACAGGTTTTGTTAGGTGCTGTTGAGTCAATTCAGCCTTGTCGAGACACTGTGCACAGCAGAACCCATCACTGCCAGGTGCTACACCGTCCCCATAATACTTGCTGTGTTGGAACCCATTGCTAACGACTGTGCCAGTCTTTATCACAGACTCTTTACCAAGCATCTGTCCTCCAGGGACCACTTCCTCCTGGTCACATGTCCAGGACTGCTTCCTCCTCGTAACAAGAGTCTCACCATCCTTACTTTTGAGGCATATTATTCTAGCTGTACTTTTCCTAAGAGATTTGTTTGTTCTTCTGGTAGTCCATGGTGTAGTCAGTATTCTTTGCCAACACCATAATTCAAAGGAATCAATTCTTATTTGGTTTTTAAAAATTATATATATATATATTGTTGTTGTTGTTGTTATGTGCCGTTAAGTCACTTGCGACTCATAGCGACTCTATGTACAAGAGCCCTAAACACCGTTCTATCCTGTGCCAACCTCGCCATCTCAAACACACTCATTCCCACCACTCCACTCACAGAATCGATCCATCTCATCGAGGGTCTTCCTCTCCTGCGCTGTCCCTCCACTCTCCCAAACATGATGTCCCTCTCCAAGGACCAGTCTCTCCGTGCAACATGCCCCAAGTATGTCAGATGAAGCTTCAAAATCCTTGACTCCAAGGAGCATTCTGGCTTCACCCTCTCCAGGACAAACCTGTTTGTTCTCCTAGCAGTCCATGGTATATTCAACACTCTTCTCTAGCACCACAGCTCAAAGGCATCAATTCTCTTTCTATCATCCCTATTCACTGTCCAACTCTCCAATGCATAGCATGTAATTGCAAAGACTACAGCCTGGATCAGGCAAACCTTAGTCTCCAGCCTGATGTTGTTGCACTTCAGTACTCTTGAGAGGTCCCTCAAAGCTGACTTTCCCAATGCAATTCATCTCTTGATTTCCTGGCTGCTGTTACCAAGAGTGTTGACTGTGGAACCAAGTAAATGAAAACTGTTAACTATTTCAATCTCTTCACCATCCATACTGATGCTGCCATTTGGCCGAGTGGTGAGAATCATTGTTTTCTTGATGTTGAGCTTCAATCCATATTGAAGACTGCAGTCCTTGACCCTCTGCAGCAAGCGCTTCAGATCCTCCTCAGTTTCAAGCAAGCAGGGTTGTGTCATCTGCATAATGCAGATTGTTGATAGATCTTCCGCCAATCCTGATGCCACATTCCTCCTCGTACAGCCCAGCATCTCAGATGATCTTTTCTGCATACAGGTTGAAAAGGGATATACACACACATAATATTTGGTATATGAAATACCTTTTAATGAATAACCTAGAACATTTAGTGAATTTTAAATATTTCTTTTCTGAAAATTTTTGTTTCTAGTAATCATGCTAAGTTACACATATACTTTCTTTTTCAAAGGTCTGAGCATAACGGTAGGAAAAAATGGTTCAAAAAATAAGAAAAATGTGGCCTCCTAAGCCTTCATTCTCTTGTTTCCTCTCTAGACAAAATATAAAATAGTAATCGAGAGTGATCCTTAGAGGCAAAGATGACAAAACATGGTCTCCTGTATTTTGGGTGTTAGGAGAGGCTATTCCTTGGAAAGGGACACCACATTCGAAAGGTGGAGGGATGGTGAAGGATAAGAAGACCCCCAACAAGATGGATTGACACTGTGACCACATAAATGGGCTCAAGTATGTCAGAGATGATGAGGATGACACAGGATAGGACAGAGTTCAGGGTTGTTGTTCACAGGGTTGTTATGAGTCACACTTAATCCAATGGCACCTAATGACAAAAACATAATATTAATGATGTTCCTTAATGTCCAGATAAACATGTATGGTTGCTGAAAACCCAAAGCTCCTACTCTCTCGTCAAGCATATCAGTATTAATTCCAAGGAATATTTAAAAATTTTAAT